CTTTATTTGACTAAACAAAGACATTTCCAGTCAACAATAAGTCTTTGTTCATTTTGATTAAAATAATGAGATAAAAGTGAGTTTTAAAGAGTTTGTGAGGCTCTTGCATCCTAATGAATGTGTTAGGCAGCATAAAACATTTTACAGATCAGGTCATTTAACCAAGCAAAATATTTGGATGAATCTGAAAGCAGGTTTTATATGCTGGGCATCTGAGGGAAGATAAATGAATGACGTGTTGGACAGCAGTAGCTGTGCTGTCCAACATAAAATGTGCTGGAGTGTTAAAGAAAAGACAGTACCTGTAAGAGGTATCTTGGACACAACAATATTTGCATGCACTTATGGGGAGAATGGTCTTTGTGCACGTTGAGCCCCCATTTTGATGGTTGACGGTTAATTTTTATATGCGGATCCAGGAGTTGGGAGTATGAATGCTGTAATGTTGGTCATGTGCTGGCAGGGGGCTTTTGACAGGGATCTACATTGTCAATTTAGACTAGACAGACTATGTCTGAAGAAAATGTCTGTCATCACATTGTCCAGGTTGGCTTTTGATGTCTGAAATGATGATGGGGTAAAAATAACATAGATTCCTTCAGTAATTTTTTTAAGTGAAGCAAAGAAAGTCTTTCTGTTTTTCTAATAGGAGATATGCCTGAAGCTATTTTGTGACTGCTGCTCTATACAGTTATTTCCTAAGGTCTGTTGCACCTGTTGTGGGTTTGTGCTAGTAAATAAGATAAAATTGAGAAGCACTGTTACAACGTCTCCACCAGTGTGTCAACAATGCTTAATTCCTCTGCATCTCTTAAACTGTTATTAACCTTTGGAGACTATACCTTTATTTGACTAAACAAAGACATTTCCAGTCAACAATAAGTCTTTGTTCATTTTGATTAAAATAATGAGATAAAAGTGAGTTTTAAAGAGTTTGTGAGGCTCTTGCATCCTAATGAATGTGTTAGGCAGCATAAAACATTTTACAGATCAGGTCATTTTAACCAAGCAAAATATTTGGATGAATCTGAAAGCAGGTTTTATATGCTGGGCATCTGAGGGAAGATAAATGAATGACGTGTTGATAATTTAATGGAGAGATTTGTTTCTTTCTCATAGTTGGATGAAAGAAAGATAGATTATATTTTTATATATTATATATTATATATATTTCTATATAATTCAGTTCTGTGTAAACTCTTTAATTTTTTGTACAAACAAAGATGGAGCAATTTTCACTCTTTTGTTTTTATCAACAGCAGTTTCAACCAGTAGTTACCATTTACAATAATTGTAAACTATGTCAATTAATGAAGCATATCAAATATTTTTGTGATGGCTAAGTGCTCTTGTTTTTATTCAGTAAGGACATCTGCAGTTGCTCAACCACAACATTATAACTGTGAGAAATCTGTTATTTTGTTATTCTCTTTCTGTGCCTTTTAACTAGGAATTTATCTTTCATTTTTGTTGTTAATTGTAAAGACATTTGCTGCTTGATGATTTATGTTAAAAATGCATGTATTTTATAAACATACAAGCCTGTTCAGTGGTCACCTGTTTATTAAAAAATATATGATTCTCCAGGAAATAAATTTGCTTTGTTCAGAGAAATAAGAATTTGATAATATTTGTAGTAATTTAATAATATACAAAATTGTGATTTATGATGATGAACCTTATAAAAATGTTTTCTCCCTTTCTTGTTTAACTGTTCAATTAAGCAGAATTAAACAATAATGCAAATAAAGAATTGTTTGTAATTGTAAGTACAAAAAATACTGAAATCAAATAAAACTGAATTAACTGAAGGTGGAGAATATTTTTGTAAATAATATAGTACAATACAAACGTGTAAAATTATATTTGTAACATTAGTTAGCACAAAGATTGTTTTATTAATTTATGTTTTATAATAATAAACAAACATGTTTTAAACATGTCTACAGAAAGATCTTCCTCTTAAAATATGTTTTTAGATCAATATGTTTTATTTTTTAAATCAATTTCTTTGGTTTTGCAGACATATTCTTTTAGAAAAAATATGTCTAGTAATCTAATTTCTTAGTAATTGTGGATTTTTTGCAACAGTGGTTTCACATGAAGGACGTGTTTGTTCAGTGCAGTTATTGCTGTAATGCTGATATCTGAGTTTAACGGAAAAGATGATTGTAAATGAGCAAACATTTGTGTCTCAACATTAGTTTTCTTATTATCCTTTTATAGGATGCTTGTTTCATATAACAGTGATGCTATTTCTGTGTTTAAATGAATATTATGCTTCTTTTATATAATCAGAGATACATATTTAATCTTATCATTACACCTTTAATTTATGAGGAATATAACTGTCATTATTTTACAGTTTGCTTTGTCTTACTGTGTGATAATGACCACACACAGAAAGACTTCCTTGATTTATGGAAACCTAAAACTTAAGCTCTTTGATTTTCCATGGAAGAAAACACATAGGGTAATGTGTGAAAAACTTAAATGTAAAATCAGCTGTGATATTTTGGAGGGTCTGGCAAACTTTCTTTGGGTGTGTCTTCACGGATATCGCGTTAATTGCAGGCATCCGGGAAATAGCATGAGCTGCTTAGCCCAGTAAGAGCTGCGTTTGTGTGACGTCATTATTCCGCGAAAAAACAGCATGATCAGGTTAGAATACAGAGGCGTGAACCACAGGCATTAGAATCAGACCGGAGTTCACTTTTTTGACGTTTATTTGAGAGGGGCTATGTGATGTTCTGTCGTGTCTTTTTGTTTAAGACTGTTTGTTTACTGAGAAAGATATATCCCGACGAAGTTTAAAAGATGCTCATATTATTGTTGACTGCGTACAAAAATGATTAAATAAAAATGTTTGGCTTCTTGAGTGTCTTGAATTGAGCTCAAAGGAACTATAGGCGTTGATTTAGCCTAAAGATGAAGGTTTGAATTATACACTTAATGGGGGAGTCAAAATGTTGCTGACATAGAGGGATATTTATATATTTTATAAATGTATATAATGTGTATTTTATGCTAATTAGAAAAAAATCGTATAAAAGCAACTTTCACGTGACGCTTGTTTAAACAGGTACGTTTAAAAAAAAACAATCTAAAACGTTCTAATAATGAATATTCTAGTAATTTATTAGTTATTGTTTTCTTTGAAAAGAACATTTGAATGATATCCACCCATAAGAGTTTCAGTGCGCCAGAAAAGGAAAGCTTTATATCGTTAAAAAGAAAAAAAGTATGCATCCTTGGTGTTATTATGACCCGTAGTGCCCATTGTTTGAAGCCATTAATGTGCATTTGGATGTCTGAAACCCACTCATGATGCCCTGCCATTACCGACATTTCACGTGTCGGCTGCGTGTGGGTAACACTGCAGTTTAAATAACATGTTTTAACAAGGAAATTAAATGACTAGATGTTTCAGCATTTGAGTAATTGGAATTGCTTAATTATCCCTCAGTTCCATGCTGTCGCTGAAAGAAATCATTTTAGCATGCTCTGTTAATTTAAATTCATAAGGGTTAAGTAATATTATAAAAATATAGACTTATGAGCAGACTAACTTGGAAAATAATAGAATATATTTTTATTAAATTTTCTGCCCTTTAAGCATAAATTGTAATCATTTTGTCATCTGTATCACTTTATCTTATAGGATACGGTCTTTATAATTAAAATATCTTTGAGTTTCTCAGAGCATCACTCTGAGGGCTGCAGATATTGCTGTCGCTCTGCTACATTTGTATACATTTATTTATGGCATCTGCGCGCGGCAGACTCTGAGAAGTAGCAGCGTTCATCAGGTGATCAGCAAAATAGATTAGGTTCTTCCTGGCACTTTAGAAGGTGAACTTTCACAGACAAAGTCTGCCCAGTAACAATCCGAAAGCCCCAGACGCGCGCAGAAGAACTATTGGAAGTTGACAAAATGGGAGGAAACAATCTACAGCGAGAGAAAAAAAAGTTTTAAAGAGACATTTCCTATCACATTTAAAAGTGTTGAAACGAAACAACTGTTGCAAAAGCACATAGCTGCGGTCTGTTGAGTTCTTCAGAATCACTGTTAGAGGCTGGAGAACCTCGAGATGCACCGTGATCAATAACTCACTGTAGATGTTCTCTAGAAGGTCTTTGAAGACACACTAACGCTATTTAATTCTGATTTCCCTATTAGCCTATACGAAATGTTGAACTGCTTTGACTCATTTGCTGCTTAAGTGACTTTCTGAATGAGTTTGTGCGTTATGCATGTTGAAATCCGTCACCTGCACAGCAGATCACAATTTTGGAACGCTCACATCTTCTTTTGAGGCTTGGCTTTTTGATGCTAAATAGAGACGATAATAATGCTTCATATAATAGCCTACACTGGGGGCAGCTCAAGAGAATACCTATCATTCCGCTGCCATCTCTGACGAGCGAGCGTTGTTTCATGCTTTCGCTGCATTTCCTAGAAAGCTATCTCGTTGACCACAGGCGTTGCAGCTTCATGTAAGATAGCTCTATTTCGACTTTGTGATGACGACGTGGCGTTTTAGTGTCCTTAAAGTCAAAAAGAAAGGTTTTTGACCGTTTATTGGTCTAATTTGCGCAAATGTCTGCTTGGCACAACTAGCCTATATTGGTCAACTAGGATATGAATATTATATGCATATTATTTGATACGAAATAACATCATAAAAACCCTCAAAAACACTTTTTTAGAACACTGAGATGCTATATATACGTTGAGTGTTGCGTTGGGTGCGCTGTGTTTATGTTTATGTTTACCCAGCGTCGTTAAAGTAGTTGCGCATTAATGGGTAAGTTGACTAATGATGAACATCTTGCATGATCCATAAATATATCAGCCAATATTGCAATTCTTGATCATCTAGCGGGGGCTATTGATAACCAGAGCAAGAGGGCTGGAAAAGAAGAGGAAGACCGAGCATGTTGCGTCTGGCCAATAATAAGATGAGGCTTGCGTCACACAGCCTTACATCTGCAGACCTCAAATGTTGCAGCGAGAGGAGCAGAGCAGAGAAAGAGACTAGTGGGGAAAAGTTTGCAAAAGGATCAGGACTAACCTGGAAAGCCTTGTAGACTGGTTTTATGTGCCTGAGAAGTCCTTTCTGCTCTTTTTGACATTTCGCAACCATTGTATTTGACTGTTTGTAGGCTTATTTGAGATCGAAAAGGACTGTAACAATCATGGAACTGCTTTGTCTCGAGATGGACACCATTGTAAGAGCCCGTCCTGACCCGAATCTTCTATATGATGACAGGGTACTACAAAGCTTGTTGACCATCGAAGAGAGGTTTCTTCCCCAGTGTTCATATTTTAAATGTGTTCAGAAAGAAATTCAGCCCTTTATGCGGAGGATGGTGGCAACTTGGATGTTGGAGGTTTGTACTTATCCGATCATTTCCGTGCTTACACCGTATCTACAAAACGTCTAGCAAAGTGTTTTCTCCGTTATTCTGTCATGCAAGCATTGTGGAATGCAAGTAAAGGAGCTTTCTTAATATTTCCGAAATGGCAGATCCGATTTGGTCGGGCTATTTATTTTATTGCAGTCATAAACGCTGATTTTGGACCAAGTTCACGATTAGATTTGCAGGGGGGTGGATGATATCGACATGTCAGTGATCATAAGCGCATATTTCTCAAAGTTTTCGGTTCCGTTAACAAAGAGCACAGAATCGTGCTTAATGTTATTTATTTATTTTTGGGATAAATATTTCCATGCACACGTATGCACTTCAATGCTTGCCGCTGTGCTACATCTAACCATCGCCATGTTGGTTTTTCTTTCACAACAACTTTATCGCAACAAAATCATCATAACAACTCTTTACATGTGCATGACTGGATAAATGAGCGTTTACTGTACATATTCATGGTTGAATATATTGGGAATTATGTTTCTATCATTTTGTAAATTTTTTTGAAATATATGGTTGCGGAAGGGGCGAGGGCCCGCACTGCTTCTTAACCCATGCTGATCGAAGTCTATTGCCTTGGAATTAAGTTCGGTTTTTGTCAGAATCTTTCATATTCCTAATCTCTGAATGTTGAAAACGTTAGGGGAGGACCTTAGCTTTATTTTCATGTCTTAAATTGTCAGGTGAATGGAGCAGGAGAATTTATAAACATTTTTGAAAAAAATATTTCGGTCCGATGGTGACGCACTCTTCTAAGACCGCATGCTACTTCGTTTAAAAAATCATGTTTTAATCATATAAAAAATCGATTTGATTGCTTGTCAATTGTCGGGAATGATGTGAAAAGGGTTGGTGAATATTTAGAGGTATGAATAGTAGACCTAGACAATTTATTTATATTTTTAAATATTTTATGAAAATATGACGAATTAAAAAAACAGACCCCGTACTGTTGCATGGGTGTTTTTTGGCTCGGGCGATTGTGACTTGAATTAATTTCTTACTGAATGAACCAAAGGAATGTGAGTCTATTGACAAATATGTTAGAGTCCCCTTTTCATCCATTAAATTCATACATTTAGAACAACGACAAGACAGAAATTGCACTTTTTTAAAATCAATATCTAATGTTACCGTGACGATTTACAACCTGTTATCTATGCAACTGATGGACAATACTACGTATTTCGTTTAATCGGCATAATTATTTGATGCATATATAGCCATTGCGAGTCTTATAAATTAGACTAATTTTGTTGCGCCACGTGCATCTTTTCCTCTGAACTTATTAAGTTATGCCCTGCCCTTTCCAGGTCTGCGAGGAACAGAAATGCGAGGAAGAAGTTTTTCCACTGGCTATGAACTACTTGGACCGATTTTTATCGGTGGTACCAACAAGAAAATGTAACTTGCAGTTGCTCGGCGCAGTATGCATGTTTCTTGCGTCTAAATTGAAAGAGACGCGTCCATTAACTGCAGAGAAGCTGTGCATCTACACTGATAACTCAATCAGACCGCAGGAACTGCTGGTAAGCACCAAATAAACTCTTTGCATATACCGAAACTTACTAACTTATCTCTAGTGACTGCCAGAAAATTGGCTACATACCTTATTCACAATTTTCCTCAATATATACTATTGCTAAGTGTTTATTTGTTTACATTACAGTATAGGCCTATACTGCTGTTATGGGTACACTAAATCGTTTAGTAGGCTAGTCATCCCACTTAAAATAAAATTTCAGGTTATGCAGATACTTGTATAGGCCTACTTTAATTTGTGATGGAATTTTTCATAGTGTGTATGTTTACAAATCAATGCCATAAGAATTAAAATTAGTCTACAGCAAAGACTAGGTTCTGTTTGACTAAATATTCTACCGACAGATGGATGTTCTCCACAAACATTCAAATATCAACTCAAGGGTGTTAGAGTCCATGCATGACAGAGCTATTACGCCATCTAGTGGCAACTATGCAACCCACAGCTGCATCAGGGCTGAAGTCTTGTTCCACCTGTATATATTGGATGAATATTGATATATATATATATATATATATATATATATATATATATAGCCTTAAAAG